GAGCGGCGGGAAGAGGTGGAGGAGGAAAATAAAACATGAGGCCGGAGTCTGTAGCATAGCTCATTTTATTGTTTAAACAGTTTTTGCATAGGAAATATATCTGCTTCCAGTAATTGACTGCAGTATGAGCAGCTGCTAGCAGTATAGGCTGGATATAACAGTAACAATCACATTAAGTCAAGCTTGATTTACACCAGTTTAAAACTTGTGGCAATTGAGTTCATTTGCAACCCACAAAAAGTACCCAAAGAACATTATCCTCCAACCGGGCACAATAAAACCTTCGCTAACATTCTGGCCCAGTCTGGGGCTGATCCCAGAGGTCTGAACGCCAGAAATTAAGTAACTGTCATATAATACATCCTACTGCTAAAGGTTTGTTACACGGAGATTGTGCATGTGCCTCCTTTTTGAAAAAATTTAATTAAAATACAAGGTTCTGTATTTATGGCCCATGAGGACAAAAATGCCAAAAGTTTTAAAATGGATCAACCCTGGTGTGTAGCTAGCAAGCAATAACTGACTACTCGTCACCTACAGTTGTACTAAATGTATCTAAAGAAACACACAGTCCTACAAAAGTTGTTCTCAGAGAAATATCATTGAGGTGAGGGCACCTCTTCCCAGGATGCTAAAAGTTCTATGTGATATAAGCACAAATTAACAGCTTGATGAAGACATAATCTAATGCAGCTTTGAGAAGCCTATGCCTGGGTTGGAGTTACCCCTCACATTCTACAATGTTGTAGAGATTTTTTTTTTTTTCCCAAGAAAATGTCATTTGAAACATATTTACAACTGAACTCAACAGAGACTGTGAAATTGAACAGGCACTGCTCATTTGTTTGAGTTTTTTGGTAAACATTTTGCTGGTTTTTTTTTTTTTGTTTGTTTCTTTCTCGTTTTGCATCAACTTTTTTTCAGTCCATGCAACTTCAATGCCCTCGATGAAGAATGCATAATAAGCCATACTTCTTAAAAAAAAAAAAAAAAAAAAAGGCTTCCTTCTGCATAAAGAGATATATTTGCCACATCAGTCCCTGTAGCACAGTTTTCAAAACCATTCTGTCAAAAATACAGTAATACAAGACTGGCTTTAGTGTCACCAGCTCACACTGCCTTTTGTGTATGTAGGCCACCATTTGTTACTGGTACTGTATCATGCAATAAAAGTTATCAGAGGCTGGGGCTGGCGTGCTCATAGGCTAGTGGCACTGAAGCGTTTTCACAATCTCAACAATTTGAATTGCAACACACAGATATTTCTAAAGAGTCTTAACTAGTGAACCCTTTTATTATTAAAAAAAAACAAAAAAACAAAACTACTTACAACCATTGAAGAAAGAATTGCAACAACAACAAAAAAATGTAAAAATTGACCGTCTCCAACTTGTCCCCTTTGACTATATGAACAATGTCACCCACAGATCTGTGGCACGGACACAGTACAAAGAGTTGTCATGGCAATGAGTTTGGCTGATGCAAAGGTCATTGTGCAGGGTCAAAGGGCAAAAATCAGTGGTCCATGTTACCCCCCAACTGCAGTGCTCCACCCCACCCACACAATTTTTAAGGAATTAGAAAAAAAACAGAGGAACTACCAGAAAGTGCAAAATATGAAGAAGGCAGCTTTCAGCTCCTTCAGCATGGAGTAGAACATTCAATTTTGAGCTTTTACAGTTGGACTTGAATAGCCTGCACATTTAAGAAAAAAAAAAGTTTTCAATAGAAACCCAATTTTTTAAAGTCCAGGAAGCATGCAGCTGGTTAATGTTAACCAAAGACCTTGACAGGAACATGTAAACTATATTGAATGTCATGCTTGGGGCCTATCTGCCAGCAATATTGTAGAGTTGTTTCATTACAAATGAATACTGTACACTGAATATGGGATAACTTTCTGCAGCCTTCGTTTCACACGGTACATAGAGTTTGAATCTAGGTAAAGAACACATGTCCTGGTGTCACACCGCTGAAGATGTCCCTGTGCAATCTCTTTTGTTGAGTCCTTATGAAGCTACAAGTCACAAATCCAAGATTCTGCTCCCTGAGGACACGTTATGTGAGACATAGCACGGTTTTGTCATTTTCTGCCTATCCTGAATGCTCTGTGAAACAACCTTAAATACCATCACGTAACAATCACAAAAACTTTTGCTAAAGGCCGTATATACTAATAAAAAGACAGTGGTGCTTCCGACATTCTGAAATGCTCTGAAAACCAACTTTTCCAATACTAAATACAACAAAATAACCTTCATAAAATATAACTTTTCTCCATTTACACTTTTTTAAAGGATTAGTATCCTATGCTTTTCAAGCACAGGAATCTGTGAAATAACTCCTAACATGGACAGATTTTTTTTTTTTTTTTAATACATAACTTAAGAGCCTGGAGAGTTTTAACTCAAGTCCAGTCTCCAAACAAGGAATATTCTTGTTTACTTTAAAAATGGAAACAACATATAGTTCCATTATAATTGTTAAAAAGTTAGCTTTACAAACATGGGAATTTTAATTTAAAAAAAAATTCTTAACAAAACTATACAGTGTACAAATTACTGTCTACAAGGTAGGCGGTTCATGAAGAAGACCTTTCGCTCTTCTTGCTACTCGCAGCTTCACAGATCCATTCACATATTTTTTTTTTTAATGGAGCTGCCCACCCGAACATTACCCCATAACTATATTGCTATAATTAAGATTTTTGCCATGTCTTTATGTACAGTCTCCTTCACTGCCTTTTTCTTTTTTCTCCTTAGACAAGCCTCAAACGCTCATGTCACTCCAGAGGAAACACTTCAGAGGCACTGTGAGGGGTGGGCTGCAAAGCAACGCAGGGAAAGCTGAACAGTGCCGCGGAGCCGGGGCTGGAGACGCCACCCCCTACTGATGCCCTTGGGTGACCTTCACCATCCTGTAGCTCTGCAGTTCTGGGGAGGGGAGGGGCGTGCAAGACCTGCAAGAGGGGGGGCCCTTAGTCACAAGATACTTCCTGGTAAAAAGAGGAGGAGGCCGAAGTGGATGAGATTATATAGAGAAGTAATATCTTTTTAAGAGTTTTATCTCAAAAGGAAAGGAGAAAAAAAAAATGATTAAAAAAAAAAAAGCAACACTTGAACTAGGCCTTTGTATTCAAGAGGCAGGCAGGAATACCCACAGTGTGTAACTTATTTAGCTAGAGCTGCTCATTCACTGGCAAAAAAAAAAGAGAGCGACTCTGCTCTTAGAAAAATACTGCGTGTCCTGTGAGGTTGATTTGTTCACCTACTAGGTTGAAGAGACATGAAGAGCTTGGCTGAGATGATCTGTTTTCCACCAGGGCAAGTCATCACAGAAACGACTGGACTTCCTTTTGAACTTGGGCTCCTGCTGTGCTTTTCAGCATTGGGGCTATCAAACTGAATGGGCTAATCAAACACAATTCTCAGGCCCATAAGCATTGTTCTAAAGTATTCATTATTAAATGATATGCTGTGAGAACAATAGACAGTTTATTTTATTAGGCCACGGCCTGGGGGAAGGGGGTCGGGGGGCTCCTCAGGACAGCCCACCATGTGTCACTAATTCTAAAAGATTTTCCCCCTAGTAATGAATTCCCTCAATGGGACTGGGTGGGGCGGCGGGGGTGGGGGCGGGCAGTGGGGCAGAGTAAAGTAGAACCAGCCTCCATTCGCCCTCTAGCCCTCCGGGGAAATTAAATCCAATGTATACTTGAGGCACCATCCCTTAAAAAAAAAATCCCATCAGCATCTAATGGGCTTAATTCATCCACAGGAAAATTCATTTCTAAAAATTCTCTATTTCCCTTCTACTCTGGTTCTCTGTTTAAAAAGGGCAGGTAAAATGAAAACTTAACAAGCCTTATTATTTTTGTTCCTTAAAAATTGAACTTTGATTTTAATCTAGAAGTCCGAATGCATGTAATAATAGCCCTCTGTTCAATCTCCTGGATATTAAAAAAAATTTCCAAGCGCACTACCATCCGTTTGAAGTAGTGAGTCACAGGTAAATCACAGACTAACACTCATGAAATGAAGAAATGGGGAAGGAAAGTGATGGGGAAAGGATGCGGGAGCACCCCCTCCAGCAGGATGGCATATTTTAGAGGAGAAAGTATGCTCAGGTGTTAAAGCCCCAAAGTTGAAACATCTGCTAGACGTACTTTTCAACGACTATCTGCTAACTATGAGACAGGCTCACTCTCCACTGTGGATCCGGAACTTTCAAGAAAAACGACCCCCCCCCCCCAAAAAAAAAAAAAGATAAGACCGTTTGTTTTAAGCCAAGTCTGCCTCCAGGTGAATTGGTTGTGTTTGCTTGCTCTTACTCTGTTGCTATGAAAAGCAGAAAGGAGTTCCGCTTGCACCCCAGGTGGGGAGTTTGAGAGGGAAACCTGTGAAGTTGAAGTTTTTCACAGTAGGCAGAACAGTCGCTGTGCAGCCCAGGCCCATCTCAGGGTGCCCTGCTTCACAGCTACACTGTAAAGTGTTAAAAATCCTCCCACCCACCCCAGAATATATATATATGTATATTAAAAAAAATCCCCTGTCCATCTCTCAGTACACAAAAGGACCTCATCACACTGCAAAAATAGCAGTACCCACTTTGGTCAATTAAAACAAACAAACAAAAAGAAAAGCATACATTATTTTTTTTTTTAAATCTGTGTACTTACCTATAATAACCAATACAGCTAAAAGCACTACCTACATAGGCAAAACTTGGTATTGCATAATTCGTATAAATTTGAAATCCCTCCCCCCCAAATATTAATTGGAAGATGAAAAACATGAAAGGTTAATAGAAAAAACACCAAAATACTGAAAATATTGCTGGTCGATTACAATTTTTAAGCGGCAACTATACACAGCCATGATATGCTTTATAAATGTGAGATAAAGGTATAACTGTCTAAAAAATCCATGATGTCACACGTTTTTCTTCGTCTGGAGTACAAAATATTTTGTCATAAAAATGGTAAAGATTTAAAATGATAATAAATGCAGCAAAACAAGTGTAGTGATGTCACTTTTTTGTGTTTTTTTGTGTTTTTTTTGTTTTTTAGATTTCAAGGCAAGGCACGTAATGTGGACATTATATCTTCGTGCAAATTAGGATTACTGGAAAGAGTATTTTTAATTAAAATTTTAAGAGACATAGAGGCAAAAATGTGTCTGCCCATGCACACCACAGATCTGTCAATACAAGAAATTTGTTGAACAAGGCTAATGTCTGAAAGCACCATGCAAGTATTCAGCACCCTGATTACATTTGTTTTCTCAAGAGTGCATTTTTATATCCTACACCCTGGCGTTCCCAGTTTGTAAACTGTAAGCTTTACCCTTGTGACATGGATTTGCCTGCCTCTTTGTCTCTAGAATGCAGATTTTATAGAACCTTTTGTACACCCTATGGGTTCTTGATGCAACCAGTAATTTTAAATAAATAAATTCTACCTCCAAGGAGGCTGCAGCTAAACCAACATAAGTGCTGTGTTTTCATTAATTTTTTTTTTCCTCAAGCACATGATTTGTCTTGATTTAATGCCTTTTTACTGCCCTCAAAAACTGAGGGGAAAATAAATTCGTTCAAAATTATTTTAAATTCTTTTTAATCCCCTCAATTTAGAGTCCAAGGGCTGAAGGACTTATAATCATGATTCCCCTTTAGATATAAATTTATAAATTGCACTTGCCTCTGTTAAGTGTTTCTTTTGTGGGGAAACTATTATATTAATTTTTACTGTTGCATGCAGAGATAACACTTCACCTACATAGAGGCATTTCTTCCATAGAGCCTTTGTGTTCAAACTGTTTTTTTTTTTTTCTTTTTTCTTTTTCTTTTTTTCTTTTTTTTTTTTTTTTTTTTTTTTAAAGATTTCAAACTGGGTTACACACTGGAAAAGGCTGGGTTAAGGGCCAAAATTTAATAAATCTGTACTGATAACTAAAGGCTACAGAGATTTCATATATATTTTTTTTAACTTTTAGAAATCAGAGTGCTTATAAAATGGCTGGCTCATGGCTCTGTCACCCAGCACTTCTGATGCCGCCTCCTAGCCTTAGTTGGTGAGATAACCAGGAATAGTGATTCCATGCGTAAACAACAAGAATACTAAACCAATAAAACTAGCTTATCATGCAAATATTAAGGCATCTAGAAAGTCAGTTAAAATATATTGTCATAGAGACAGAACATCTATTTCCCAGCGGACTTCATGTAACAAAGGCTACTTTGCAGGGGCTGCGATCTACCATCAGTGAAATATCATCGACCCTTTTTATGTCATTACAGTTTCAACCTTAAGGGAATTAGTGATTGTAAGTGCTGCGATTGCTGGTCTATTATCTTCTTTCTTCAGTTTTTTTCCTTTCTCCCTTTTTGTTTGTTTTGTCCAGTCTTCTCTTTTCCTTTTTTTTTTTTTTAATTTCTTAAACTAGTGTTGTATTTCATGTTTCCCTCAGTTGCTTGTTTCTGCTTGAAGGAAAGGTTCTCCGATTATGTTCAAACCGTAATTTTGGACATTTGCCGGTAGGATGGGTGTCCTATTTGATACTTGGAAAGGAACCAAGCTAGCCCAGGTACCAGGACTGTTGGCAGGAGAGGGGCAGGAGGGAGGGAAGAGAAAAAGAAAAAATACAACGTTACTCTACAACAATATTAGAAATATAAATTCCATAGGCATCAAATTACTATAATAGCTTTTTTCCAAATTGCAGTTTAATATGAGATACATGTGCTAAATTATAAACATTATACGTATATAAGCTACATGGTCTATTTCTTTCACGGATGGTAAGACGAATTGTGAAAAAAACTCGAGTAAGACTCATCCATAGTTATTAAACTCTGATTGAGGATACTCTTCCTAAAATACTTGGTCTACTCTGATGTAAATATAATATGATTTTTTGTCAAAAAAAAAAAAGAAAGAGAAAGAAAAGAGCAAATCTACAACAGTGCCAACATACTTTGCAAGCAATATTCTGATCTTGTTTTAATTCACCAGCAATTGTGATGTATTTCAATTTTTCACCTGCCTATCGGTTGAATAAAATTGAAAGCCATAATGAAAGAGATTTTTTTTTTTTCCCTTCACAATAAGAGAAAATACATTTATCGGAAGGCCAGTGCATAATGTGTAGTTGGAAGCTGACACCAGAAGCCAGGGCATCCCCTGTCCCTCCGCATCAGTCATGTCTCCACATCCCAGCTGCTCTGAGTTTGGGAGTCTGGAGAGCGGCCTGGGAGAAGCCCCACAGGGAGGGAGTAAGCAGAGGAGAGGCTTGGCCCTCTCCAACCAACTCTAATTTCACCGATGTTGTATTTGGGGCTGTATAAAACAAAAACAGTTCAAAAAACAGCTAATTGCTACTGGCATAATCTCTCATTAAATAAGTATCATACAGAGGAAAATAACACGACACCTACATGTCACAAAACAACCCCATAACATACGTTCTGGGTATACCTAATCAGATGCATTATTTGTTTCAACATTCAACTAGGAACTAATATCAGCTAAGTAACAGCTGCATAAATAATCATGAAACAAGAAAACATCCAACTGACAATTCCATACCCAGTTTTGTCATCGTCTGGCATGGAAATACAACTTCAATGTTTTAAATTTAATTTATCCTTTAAATTTAATTTATATCCTTTTCTTTACTTTTGGAGCCATGAGGTGAGATGGATTCTACTATGGTAGCTATCAAGCTAGACACCCTTATTTTTTCATATTTAAATTCCAGAGGTACAAAAACTTTTATGGAATATTACCTTGAAGGAACAATTTTCCTACCTACTCCGTCCAACCCCAAAAAAGAAAAAGCTTGGATTAAAAAAAAAAAAAGAACTTGAAATGTAACTTCTCACTCCCATGACGCTTTTAAACAAATAGAGAGGCTTATTATTACGTCTAGGTACATATTTCTGAGTTAATATTTTAACAGAAAAATATTCACAATGACCTTTTATGCTAAAGGGATTTTGTGATTAGAGTATGAGATCCATAATAACAAAGTCCACTTCTCTTTCTGTTCTCCATCTAATATAGTACCTGGTACATGGTAGGTGCTCAGTAAATTTTTGGATTAACAGGCAAATCAATTACATATTCCAAATCACACCCAACTATATATTTTTTAAAAGTGTTGCTCATAATCACATAATTTCATGAGTACACTGCAGTTTGGCCCCTACAATAAGAAAATAGGCAGCTCTGAACTTAAAATTAGAGATGTTTAGCATTAACAAAAATTAACTATGCAGGAAAAATCATATAATACTTGAAACAAAAAATTCAAATAAAAGGATATGTCATTATAGGATAAAAAAAAATCATAATTCTGTAGAATAAAAAGTTGTTATTGAAACCTTTTCCAAGAGACTTAACTGTTTTCACATATTTCTCTCTTCCCACGCACATCTTCAACAATTATTTCTGCATTTTGCACCACTGATTGGGCCACTGATTGGGAGGAGTGTTACATGACGCCTCATGAAACATTTTCCCTCCACTGCCCTACTGCACTTGATTACATAGCACTACTATATAGCACTACCTCATATCATAATTATCTGTATCTATGATTATCTTACTTATTGAAAGGTAAGATCTCTAAAGAAAATGACCCTATCTTATCAATCCTTATTGCTGGCCACAGCTGATGCTAATTATTGCTCAACAAATAAATGACAAAAATGGATCTCCATTATTTTTAACCTAAAGCAGGAAGCATGTACAAAAAACAAAAAGACTAGCTCAAATTGATAATCCTTGACAGTAAAAGAAAATGTCAACGACAAGTAAATAACTTTGCAAAATTAACGAGTCCCAAATTAAATGGGCTCTAGGAAGTCATTTAGAAACTGCATATTTTAGGAAAATAAAGTGTATTTTAATGCTTGAAAATAGATGCGACTCCTTAAATGGAGAAGTCTACTGACTAATGGCAGAAAAGACAGGAATTCAGGGTTTATTTTGCCATAGCTTTCTTACTCAGTTCTTTAGAAGAGACATGTATTGTTAGTTTATGGAAAATCCTTGATAAAAATACATAGATGCTAGTGACTAACAGGACTCTTGCTGCAGAAGAGCTAACAAATTCAATTTAGATGTTTATTTAAACCTTTCAAACCTCCCATGCTACATTATGACCACGTCAAAATTGCAGTGTGTGATATATTTGTCAATACTGTTTATGAACCTGTGGGGGGAAATAAATCTCAGACATTAACACTATGCAGATCCCATATATGAGTTTACAAGTCTCTTATTGCCAATCTGGAGGTTAAATACAGAACTGTAAGGCACAGACATTTTTTTAGAGCTTTTTGGTAGTCCCGTTGAAAAAAATCTGGTAAAACTAATTCAAAGATTATGATAACAGTGCAAAGAAAAATGTTTAACCAAACAAAATAACTTAGATCATTTAATTTCTAAAAGACAATGCCTCAAATCTCATAGTTTTTCAGGTAAAAATTTAACAGTGCTTTTTACATATCAACTCTCTCTACATAAGTCAATGTCGATGATTGCCAGCATGGATAAAATAAACACACTTTCATAGTTATGTACATATACAACTAGTTACATGTAAAATGCTTAATCATTTTAATTTCTAATAGAATGAAAATTATATGGATAACCTTATATTCAATCCAATAATCTGTGTCTCTGTCTATCAAGAGATGAGAGTCTCTCAATTGAAAGATTTGAAAATATTCAAAGTCAAATTAAGCCACTTCAGCAATATATCTTCAAGCACTCATTTACTTGGTCTTCATTACATTTTCCATTGCCAAATCACCTTTTTTTTTTAAGGCAAACAGAAGATGAGCACGATTGAAAGTTGAAAGCACATCTTTAAAAAATATTGGGCTTCCCTGGTGTCGCAGTGGTTGAGAGTCCGCCTGCCGATGCAGGGGACATGGGTTCGTGCCCCGGTCCGGGAGGATCCCACATGCTGTGGGCCCGTGAGCCATGGCCGCTGAGCCTGCGCGTCCGGAGCCTGTGCTCCACAACGGGAGAGGCCACAACGGTGAGAGGCCCCCGTATAGCAAAAAACAACAAGAACAACAAAAACAAAAAATAAATATATATACCTGCCATACTAGTAAAAAGAGAAAAGAATACAAGCACTTCGTGGAAAATCAGGCACAAAAAAAAGCCCCAAATATTTTGAGAATACTTTAACACAAAGCAGAATTCACCCTAGTGACTTCTACTCTATGTACGCTCTAAGTATATAATGAGATATTTCATTAAAAATAAGATAAAGTTAAATAAAAATTACAGGAAAAATTAATATATCTGATATCATGGATCATATTTTCATATGATTCTGATCAAATGTATGATGTGGCTGCCGCCCCCCCCCACCCCCGCCACCAAAGGAAAGAAGCAAACAAACAAATTACTTTGACCTTAAGATGCATTAATGGTAGGTGATGGTACGGCTTCATTTTATACTGATCAGACTATCTCAGAAGCATTGTGTTTCTTCTAGGCATCGCTCTTCAAGAGAAAAAAACTCTATGGCATTTTTTTGGTGAAGAAACCCACCAAATCATGTCATTTGAGGAACATTAAACGGAAACAGGGAAGACATGATAGTTGAGTTGAAAAGAAACATAGACTTGTTCCATGGTTCAGGTAGACAGAATTAGCGTAAAGGCAGAAACTTCCAGAAGATACCATGCTGAGGGCCTACTATGAACAAGGTGCTATCTTGGGTGTTTTACATATGCTATGTCACTTAATTTTCTCAATGAACTCTTGAAACTGCCATCATTATCCCCTTTCAACAGATGAGAAAGTTGAGGCTTAAACTCATCCAACGTTACCCACCTAGATCTCAGATACGAATCAGTTCTGATTCCCATGGCCATTTAACTATATACTGCTTCCCTGGGAAGTTAGACATTGACCAAACATTCAAAAGAACTTTTGAACAGAGTTTTCTGAAGGCAAAATGTATTTGCTTCAGGAGACAATGAATTTCCCATGCCCCACACAGCTGGCTAGTGCTGCAGCAGACTTGTGCACAGAATATGTGATCAGTCAGGGTGATCTAGCAAATCTGAAATTTGATATATCTACCTCCTTTGAAAACAAAGCTGGTTGAGAGTGACGTTACGGTGAGGATTAAGGAGGAGGAAGATACCTCCTTCTTCTTTTTAAAAATGATACACTATTTATATATTTCTTTTCCGGGACAAATTGGATAAAATGGCTAGTCTTTGCATCTACAAGGAGTAAAGAGACTCTGTACCTTTCAAAGAAAGAAAGTGAGAAAACTCCTCTGGACAAGTCAACATCTGACTTGGTTGTGCTTTATAAAAATTATGCATTCTGTGACTGTGTGTTCTAGGCCAAAAAGGGTTGGGTCCTTAGCTTTTAACTTGGTATCCACGCAAGAACCATGGCGTACCAAGTAAACATATATGGAGTCATAAGTTTAGTAAAGAACCAAAGTCAAAGGCTTCCTTCAACTATTCGCCCTGAAATAAAAGCTAATTGAAGAATGGCAAAATTCATTTATTACTAGTCTGTGTGCATCTGATAATGGGTTGGGCAACCCAT